CCCGGGAAGCGCCTCCCGGCCGGAGCCGATCGATGCAAACCAGGTCAGGGCTCGGCCGCCCCTCGCAAATCACATCCCGAGCCGGGAGGGTCCCAGCGCCTGCTCCCCCTCCCGACGGGAAGCGGCACCAAAAATCTTTCCTAAATAAATCAGCCTTTATTGTAAAACTCGGCCCCCGACGAGACAGAACCTCGTTAGCATCGATTTTGAGATAAATTATTGAAAGTGGCTCTTGCCTGCTCTTTGCATTTGTAAAGGAGAAGGGAAGCACAGCCCTGACAGCCCTGGGCTCCCAGCACCATTCCCGCGTCCCAAATCCTCCTGCCAGGATTCCTTCAGCCCTTAACTCGGTGGCATAACCCCAAATTCCATCTTGGCACGGAAACCAGGCTCCTTGTGCCAGGAAAAGCCCCCCCAAAACTGGGGCAGCACCACCCGCCCCGCTGCTGCGGGCGACGCTTCCCCACGGACATCCTCACATCCCTGCATCCTGCCGGCACTGCTTCCATCCCTGAGCCAGCCTGGCCTCGGGGAACCTCTTCCCAGAGCCCTTCTCCCACCTCCTGGCACGCACACGGGACCCTTGGGACCCACGGGATCCTTGGGAAGCGTTGGCAGGAAAACACACCCGTGGCAGGGAGGAAGAGCCACCGTGCCCCTCATTCCAAGGGGAGCAGGGCTCTGGGAATCCTGGCACTGCCACAGTTCCTGCCTGGACACAGAGCTGGGCAGCCATGGGAGCCACAGGGATCCTGGGGAGGTTTATCCACCCTGCTCCCTTCCCCTTTTCTGGGAGCTCCCTCCCGGGATGGGCTCCCTTGCTGGAACAGCTCAGGGATGAGCTCAGGCTGGGGGGGTCCCACCATCCTCACTCCCCAGGAACCAGGCAGGGATTGGGAAGGTTTTTCCAAGCAGCCCTTCCTCCCTCTCCCACCTTGGGCCATTCTTCCCCGTATTTTATGGAATGGGGGGTGTTCCACCAGGAATCCAAGGCAGGGCCCCCCCTCCCTGTGTCCATCGCCCATCCAAGGCTTGGACAAGGAGCTCATTCCTTGTGCCCCAGCTTCCCTTTCCTTCCCTGCTGATCCCTCACCCTGTGCCTCTTCCCAAAGGAGCTCGGAGGGAATCCCAGGTGATTCCCACAGGGTGGGACAGACACCTGGGATGGCACCACCAGGCTCATCCCTGCCTGCTCCACCCCTTGTCCGGCTCCACGCCGGCCCCAGGCACATTCCCAGGCACATTCCTGGTGGATTCTGAGCTGGGAAATCCAGGAATGGGATCCATCCCTCACCCTTCCCAAGCCCTGCTGCATCCAGGTGCTCTCCTGGAGTCAAGTCTGGAAGTGCTGCTCTGCCTTCCCACGACCCCGCCGTGTGATCCCAGCCAATGTTTGGATTTCCCAGGGATGAATCAAAGGGAAATGCTGGAAAACCCAGCCCAGGGGGCTGTGTTGCCTCTCCCTGTGTGCAACATCCCAACCTTGGCCACCCCATCCGTGAGAAAACGCCTTTAACACCCCGTGGGCACCCACTCTGGGGTCTGGAGCCCCCCTGGCACAGCCAGGATCCCTCAGGCCCTGCATCCCAACACCGTGGATCCCACATCCCAGAGCTGCCCGGGCACATCCTCAGAGGAGCTGTGTTTTAATGTAGCAATTTGATTCAATTTTCCACTCTATAAAATTACCCATCACTGCTCGTTGCTTCCTAACAGACACCTTCACTCTTAATTTAACAATCCTATCGAATTCTGCCAGGGAAATTGGAAAAATTTATCACCTGTGAAATTTTATTTTTCCTTGGTTGTGTCTGTTTTTGTAAAACTTCATTAACGACGATGACTTGCTGAGGAAATTATCTCTTCATCTCCCTCCTCTTCTCTTTTCCTCCCCCCTCCTCCTCCTTCTCCTCCTTTCTTTCTCAGTTTTCACTTGGGACACGAGGGAGGGAGAAGCTCCAGCTGGGATGGGGATTTTCCCTGTGCTCACTGCGGGGTGGGAAGGGATGAGCTTGGGAAAGAACAGACTTTTCCTGAGCCCTGCCACTGGTTTGTCACCTCTGCAGGGATGTGACTCCACCTCTGGGCACACTCCCTGGGAATTGGGGTGGGGAGGGTTGAGGGACTGAGCACCTTCAAGGTGCCAAGGCAGCCAGGAATGCTGGAAAACCTCAGCCAAGGCAGCCAGGAATGCTGGAAAACCTCAGCCAAGGTAGCCAGGAATGCTGGAAAGCCTTGGCCAAGGCAGCCAGGAATGATGGAAAACCTCAGCCAAGGCAGCCAGGAATGATGGAAAGCCAGGAATGCTGGAAACCCTCAGCCAAGGTAGCCAGGAATGGTGGAAAACCTCAATCAAGGAAGCCAGGAATGATGGAAAGCCAGGAATGCTGGAAACCCTCAGCCAA